GCGGAACTAGGGATTGAACTCAGACCCTTGCACTTTCCAAGGAAGTGCTTATTCTACTGAGCCATCTCCCCAGACCCCAGTGTCCCACCTTAATCCAGCCACCCTGAAAAATCCCTACCTGTGACCACTGCACTCAGGGGCTCTGATGTAGACAGAAAAGCCAAATAGTGCTCAACAAATACCTTAAGAAAGTTTTTTTTTTAATGTATTCAGTTGAGGGTTTAAAGTTGGGGAACCAAGAGGGAAAGTAGAGGAGAATCTATAATATATGAAGGAAGTAGAGAGGAAAAGGGAAAAAAAGGAAGTGTACCTGGGAAATACATGTTTCCTTCATGAATATTAGTAAACACTAGGGGAAAGGGGATATAGCTAGTGGTGCAAAGCTTGCCTAGAGTGCTGGCCCATCACCAGCATGATGGGGAAGGAGGGAAGAAAGGAAGAAATAAGAGAGAAAGTGAGAAAGAGAGAGGAGAGAAAGGCAGGGAATGTGGTTATTTGTATGTTTATTATTATTAAGTATATGTTACTAAATATACTTTTACTGTGCCTCTGTTTCAGTTATGAGCTACATGGGATCACTATTTTATAAACACTGTTCCAATTTTCATGCCTCAAAAGTTATCTAGAATCAGTAAAACTAATGATTTAGGGTGTTAAACAATTATGACTAATGTTATCACATGGAATTTTCCAACTATTTATAAAATAGTATGTCTTCTTTACATAGAGTCACTAGCAGTAAAGGTATTTTTTTTTAAGTAAATATATCTTTGCTTTAATGATAAGACAATATCCCAAACAGCGGAAAGGAGCAGAAGAAATCCAATTAGAACAGCTATAAGAACAGAAGAGAAAAGAAGCCAGACAACCAGAGTTGGGGGGAAATAAAAACAATCCAAGAAAGAATCACACTAAAAAGCTGCCTTTAAGGGTCAGTTTCAGGAACTCCTAGGCTCTTTGGGGGAGCTTTTTGAGGGTCATCCAGTCATGTGGACCCGCCCTTTCTCCTAGACCAGCTCTCCTGTCCTTGTTCTCCTTGCCATTCTTTAGCACTGACTGGAGTAAAGGTGTGGAAGCTACAGGTAGAGGGGTGGGGGGCCGACTATGTTCACATGCACAGCATGATCCTGGCAGGGAATTCCATGTTCTGAGAAAAGAAAACAGTGGCCAAGGCCCAGTGGAAGCCAACCCCAAATCCTCAACCTGTTCCCATCCTCTCCACAAGGGGTCCATTGAGGAGATGATGCCTTCTTTTTAAAGCAGTCTATTGCTGCTTCTTAGAAGTTTACCAATTGTCTCAGTTACTCTTCTCTCATTGCTGGGACAAATATCCGACACTCAAAAAAGAAAGGTATATTTAGCTCACAGTTAGTGGAGATTTTAGTCCGTACTCAGCTGGCTCCAAGGCAGAGTGACACATGGCACCGAATCACCTTTCATGGTGGCTGCAAAGAGCAGAAAGCAAAATGGAGAAATAGCAACAACGGCTACCGAGAACAATTCTTTCTCCCTTAAGTTGCATTCAGGCTATCCACCCCAGGCTGAGAGTAGCACGCACACGCATAATCCCAGTGGGTCATGAGTTAATCACAAATTCTAGAAATCCGCCCTATGACTGCATGAGCCTTTGCGTGGACAACTAGACACAAACCATAACACCAATCAACAGACATTTAATAGGCAAATGTTTAGTTGCCTACTGAGGCACAAACTTGGTTGTCAGCCAAATGTCTGAGAACGATAAGACAAAACTCTTCAATGGTCTACTCCTGTGAGCAGGGCAGACCCATGAGCCCTGCTCTAAGCATTGTGTGTGGTCAAGTTCCAGGCACTGTGTGGCCTTCCTGTCTACATCAGAGCCCCTGAACTTCACTCTGTTCTCAACTCTCCAGGCCACACATAACTGCTTTGGAACACTGCAGCCTTCTGTGCTACGATTTATGTCCCCTAGACATATGACTCTTCCCTTTGGAAGCAGGAACAGCGTAGGCC